GTTTCCACGCTATTTTCATGGTTTACTCTTGCCTCAAGTTTTACCTCATTGTGACCCTTTTTACTTTCTTGCGTCACTCTCTCGACTTTTTCTCTCCCTTGTGTATAGGTTATCTTACGTCTTTTCTCTCGCACAGATTCAGATTCTTCATAAGCCAAAGGCTTAAGAATGTATTTTCTGTCCTCTTTACTAAAGACAAAGATATTCTTCAAGCAATGGTGCACAGCATCTACATCTGACTGCCAAGGCCTACCTAGCAAAATATCACAAAGAGACATAGAATTACATCAAAGTAAATTTCATCCCTATACTCACCAATCTGAAAAAGTACCATGGCCTTTTTAGTAACATCCACAACCATCTCTTCACTCAACCATTGAAGCTTGTATGGTCTAGTATGCAGATCCATCTTGATTCCGTGTGCTATGCAAAATTCCTCACTTATACAATCAGTACTCGACCGACCGTCAATTACCAAATCAACTTCATTGGACCACCCAACCGAACACTTAGTACGGAAGATACAAGTCCGTTGATCTCCATCTTCAGCGCCAAACACCAACCCCTGATCCTCAATTGGACCATTCCAACCGCAAGAAGTATCATGCTCTCTTTCCACTTCTAAGGCAGTATAGTATGCCTCATAGAGCCTTGATTGTCTCCTTATCTTTGGGTGTTGTTTGAACCACTTGTCCAAGCCATAGCGGAAACGGTCTGTCAACATGTAATCATTCTCATCCACTTCTGAACTCAAAAACAACCCTTCTAATTCCTCAAAGTAAGATTGAATGGATCTACCATTCTGCTTACAATTGAGCAACTTCACTTTTGCTTCATCAAAGGTGTTAGTACCAGCATATCTTTCTCGCAAAGCATTTCTCAAATCATGCCAATCATCCAAATTACGATACCAATAATGCGAATAGATATTTGAAACTAGTTTCCACCAATTCAAAGCATTAGAACGAAAACAACCTATAGCTAAGACTATTTTCTCACTCTCTTTCTCTATGTTAAGCAACACAAACAAATTCTCTATGCTCTTTTCCCAAGTATCATATTCTCTATGACAACCATAAAACAAAGGCAATGACACTTGCAACATTCCAGCATACGAGGGTACTTGTTTAACTTCAAAACGATCACATAAGACTCTTAAATTTTCAGCAATTTTCTCAAAACTTACCATAGCTTTATCTCGCTGATTTGAAAGCAATTGAGACAAGTCTCGGTTTGCCTCCTTAACCTCGGTCAAAGCATCATGTAGGAAGTCAATTTGACTCTTCATGAGCTGTACTTGAGCCTCCATGCGACCCTCTACACTCTTTGAAGTGACTTGAGTACAACCAGCAACTCCGGATGACATCTTTGCTCAACAACTCTGAGAAACCACCAACAAAAGAAGTAATGTGCCTTGTTTACTACACAAAAACTCCTTGAAACCTAGAACCAAAGTTTGGTTCGGCCGAAACCCCCCCAAGAACCAAAGGAATGTTCGAATAAAGCTCTCCCCAAAAACAAAAACTCTCTTGTGCTTTTAAGAACACAACTCTCAAAATTTCAGAATTAAAGAGAAGAGTGCTTCTCTTGTTCTTTTCTCTTTTGATCTCAGCAGCAAGAAAGAAGAAGAAGATTGGAGTAGAGTGATGTGAGAATTTTCGAAAAACAGCACCCCTAGTTATAGGCAATGCAAGTCTTTTTGTGCAAGAAAACTCCTACTAGATAGGACCTAAATTTTCCCAAAAATATTCCCCCCCCTTTTAATGATGAAGGCTGCTCGACAATGTGGAATAAAGAAGAAGAAAACCCAGCCTCATATATATAGACAAGGATAGAGTCCTAAAACTTAGGTAAACATAATCCTTTTTGGACACAAATTAGGAAAACTCATCCCTACTTATTAGAGATAAAATTTTCGACCCCCCTACTACTAAAAAGACTCAAATACACGGCCACACACATGCACAATTGTATTAGAAGACTCAAAAATTTTCAGATTAGGATAAGACTTCCTTATCTTAATAGTTTTCGAAAATAGACTCACTTTAAAACTCTAATTATAATCTCACTGAAATTATAATTTTACACATGCAAAAATTAGTATTTAAATCCAAGTAGGACTTAAATAAAACACACAATAAAATTGTATTACAATTAGGAAACAATGGCTGCAAATTTTCGGCCAATGTGAACACAAAAATCCAAAACCGAATAGGACTCAAATCATAACACAATTTGGACTCAATGACCTTAATTTTAGGACTAAAATTTTCGGCCATGTGAACACACAAATATAAGACCAAATAGGTCTCCAAGTGTAACACAAATAGACAACCAAAATTCAAGTTCAACTAGGACTAGGAAACCCTAATTTTTAGCTTCACAATTTCGGCTATACTATGACTCTAAAATTCAAAACCAACTAGGCTTAGAATACCACATAAATCACACGCACACACATGCAAAAAGTCAGCAAAAATTCGGCTATTAACCTTTTACCACATAGTTAAAATTTGAAAAATTACTTTTGACTCACTTAAAAAGGAAACTTGAAAACTACTACTTTCCAAAAATGGACAACAACTTTTAGAATCTTTCTAAAAACCCTTTTCCAAATTGTACTTGGAATTAACAAAAATCACTTTTTACCAAAACAATCCATGGCAAATAAAGTAACAAGAACACCATAATTATAATGAAGTAGGAAATTAAAGTTCCTCATTCAATTATGACATTTGCTTCATAATACTAAATTTAACACAAATCATTCTGAAAACTCAATGACTTAACAATGCCATCTTCATAAGTGACCATTGAAAATCAATTTTTCCAACAACCAAATATGTAAACTTTAAGAATATATCTCAAAGCCTATAAGATTTCTTGTCATAAATTAAGAAAATCTTTTTAGTAAAACTTCACTCAATTTTCGATCCTACTCTCGAAAATCAAGGTTTTAAACACAAGTCAAAGACTTCAATCCTTAAAGTTGGCACAATTCAACTTCAAAGACCTTAAAACACTTTGATACCAAAAACTGATATCACTAAAAAAAAAAATTCATTCCTCATCACATGACAAAGAAAGTTTTGACTCAAGTTAAGAATCAAGAAAAATCCAATGATAGGAAGAATCCACTAATTCGACTCAATCTCAAAGTGTAAAACTCGAGAAAACAAGAAAACCAACATTTGTTACTTTTGAAAAATCTTTTGACACTAAGATTAAACAAGATAATCAACAAAATTCGGTCTCTATGAAATTTTCATGAATTGAAAATACATAAATTCTATTTTACTCATTAGATTCAGATGAAACCAACAAGAAGGAAGGCTTTTTCATTTATACTTTATGTAGAAAGTACAAAATCACTAAGCTTCACCTTTCAAAGAGTAGATCCAAGATATTTACCACAAGATAAACTCTCAAATCCTCCTTATGTAAAGACATCTCTTTAGAAAGAAAAGGCTATCTCGAGCAAGAAGCTCTTCTTTGGCATCAATTCTCTCCTTAAAGATCCAACACATAAGATCCACCAACTTGCTCATAGGAGAAACAGTTCTCTACTTGCAAATCAAGGATAAATTTTAAGATGTAGCGCCCACTTTGATTAGATATCAACGTACAATCATCAAGTTCTCGCATAGACCTCAAAATAACACCACAAGATCAAACAAATGTGTAAGAAGTCACGCACAACCACACAAAAGACAAGATCAATTTTGAAAACGTAGTTTTCACAAGAATTTGGTTTATTTTTTCAACACCCCATTCCAAAACAAGAAGGAACCTTGAAACAAATAAAGATAGTACTACTCGTTAAGTAGCACAAAGCTCGATTACCACACCAAGTAACGGATTCCGTGGTAATTCAAGATATTCTCAAAACCAAGAACTATGAAGTCCTCAACTAAGAAGAAATCTCTCGAAAATCAAACTGATAGTAGGAACTGATATGATAATATCAATTAATATTATCATATCAGATAATCCAAGCTCTGATACCAAGAAACTGATAGCAATCTTGTAGACGAAGCAAATTTCGTTAATGCAACCATCAACAAGAAAGTACGAAGATAATTTTGTCTATCCCGTGAAACTCAAAAGAGTGCGGAAAATTCACAGTAAGACGATCGTTTATCTAAGTGATTCTATCTCTTAACTCAAACCAAGCAAAGAACACATTATCCATGAAAGATTCAAATTAAACAACAACCTACGCTAAGAATAGCAAGGACACCATTCAATATACTCGATCAGTCATCTATCAAGAGACTCAAGAAAGGCAGGAGCAAACAATGCCCAACTATGAAGGAATACTATTGATTAGTAATCTTCATAACCAACCAAAGATATGCAACACATACACTATCTCAAAATGCTTATGCCAAAGCACAACTCATCCAACAAAAGTAGGACAAACCCCACATTGGATCTCATGAACACACTCATCATGAAATTCGAACACCAAAAGAAGACCAATTAGGACTCTCTAATCTTATCTCCCAAGGAGTAAAAGTAGAAGAGTACTTGATCTCTTTGACTCTATCTAAAATCTAGAAAACCTTATCTAAATAACTTATCCTCAAGTAGGATAATATCTAGAAGGAATCTAAGACTCCTAATCGAAACACTCTAGTTTAATTCAGTCCACATGACTTATTTAACCAGATAAAAATTCGAAAATTGACTCCTAGACTTAGACTAACTCTAATCTCAAAATTCAGCTCCAAATTGTTGAAGTAAAATGTCTTGAACGTCCTTCCAAAAGTGGAATATTGGTCTTGCGCCCCTTAAGTTGTAGAAAACTCCAATTTACTCCAAAACTTGTAGAATTCTCTTTATTGACTCCAAAAGATTGGAAAAACACTTGAAACAATTAAGATAGTTTGCAACCTATCCAATTGTATAGTAATGGACTCAATCTTGAACACTTTGATCAAATAGGTCGTCCATTCAAGAACTTAAATGACTCTTCTCACTAGCTTGATCAATGATCTTCATGGAGCACACAGAGTCAAACTCTCTTGATACTCTTCAGCACTTATTTCCATGAGGTCTTCATCTCCTTTGGTTTGAACCCCAAAGTTAATGACATTCTCATCACCTTGATCATAGCTCTCTTGAACCAACTCCCTATCACATAAGTAGTCAAGATCCATCCTTTCTTCCTTGATTGGCTTGCAAAGTAAACTTGGCATTCCAAAACTAGAATGAAGGACTAGCTCATTCCCTTCACTAGGAGAACCTCCATGGAAGGCTACATGATTCTCATCAGGCTACGTACAGAGCGTTCCTCGTTCGCCCATGTCCCCTGATGATGCATTCCGAGGACCCAGGTCTACCCAGTACTTTGTACAGCATTCTGCTGTTGACACACTCAGTACTTGGAGGAGATTCCCGGAGTCAGCGTGTCTTAATTTGACCAGATGGCGATACAATTATAACGGTGACATCGTAGGAGAGTGTAAGGATGGGTACCTTGAATGGTACAGGCAGTATTCACATTTATTTCTGCTGCCGACAACTGACCCATCTGCAATCTCTACACCAGCTAGGAGCAGTCAGGATTATGTAAGTTGTATTTTTAATTTTTTGAGTTTTTGTAGATATACATTTCTATATTATAAATAGTTTAACCTTTTTTGGGTTTTTTTTTTCAGTGGATGAATGAATTGAGGAAGCTGACGAGGGACCTGATTAGAAAGGTCAAAGTGTCCGATCGTTTCCTGGCTGACGAATATGATGAGAAGCTGCAGGATACGATGATCCGTTATTACAAGGCCCCATGATCATTGTCATTGTTGTATTATTGGACTGGATTTGTTTGTTTTTCTCTCTCTTGGACTGCATTTAGTTTTTTCTTTTTTTGGTATGATGGAATTGTGTGTTATATATTAGTTAGCTTATTTGGTGTCCGTGTTGTAAGGTTTTTTTTTTTTGCTAGTATGGCCAACAAGGTTCGTTATTGCACAAATAAAAAAAAAACAAACAAATTTGATACTAGATAATACCAATATCTAGTTCACAACAAACAAACAAACATGAATCTAATCTAAGAAACTAAGATCAATGAAATCATTAGCATAATCCCCGACAGGACGTCCAAGATTGGATGGGACCAACCTATACCAATCTTAAATTCTAGGAAGAAGTGGTAATTCCCAACCAGTAACGCTAGGCTGATGTTCCTTAGTCCACCGATTATTGACCGGTGGAACTGGAAAGTCACCGTCCAAATTGATCCGAATGAAGTGCTTGTAAATACCATGGTGACATACCACAATCTCAAATGCCGGACATGTTGCCTCACCGCGTGCAGTGACAGGTAGTATAGTCTAACATGAGGAGTTTAGCGACTGGTTCTCTTCACCTGCACCGTAATAGTATACAATTGCATTGTTCATAGTCGCACTACGAACAAGTCCGTCGCACACATCCAATGGCGCTCAGGTGCGAAACCATGTCCACTCTACCGTATACGACGGACTTCTTCCTGGCAGGACGTCCTGCATTTACATATACAATTATTTGTGCAAAATACTGCCAAGTTCAGCAAACATCATAACATAGAAAATGAAAAGTATTTATACCCGTAGATTCTAGTGTACAGATGCCAATTCTGTTCTAACTCGTTTGCCATTGCCTCTCTCGCCATCGCCCACTTGTCCTGGCTCAAAAACATGTTACTCGCGATGACGCAAAATCCACAATTGCCATCAGCACCAACATCAAGGTAACTGGTAATATATGGCCGAATGGGCCATGGAATGAGGTCGTAGCAACCATACTGTGAAATATCACTCGCAAAGATCTCTGTACATTACACGGAAACAATGTTATTTGGAACAAATGATAATACATAAATAAGATTCTGAACAATTACTTCTTAACATGTACCTGTGGATGCATCTGTACGACCACCTGAAGACGAGGGCGCTTCTTACTTGAATCGCTAGTAACTTTGGTAGACTTTCCTTGAGCCTCGTCCCTGTAATCCCACACATTAGGTGTTACTTTTTTCTGTGGGGATTGTTCATGGGCAAGAGTGCTGGCCTCTGCTTTTTTCTTTGATTTAGCCCCCTTAGGCCGCCCTTTCCTTCTCTTGACCTCCTCGGGTTGTTTGAACCCACACTGGTCTGGATGCATAATATCGTGGAGAGCCTTATTTACAGTGCGTCGTACTGCCTTAGGACACTCGTTCAGCTCTTCCATCAACTGTCTGGTATACAGGACCTCGTCATCCACATCGCTAGAAGCACTCGTACCAGCCTGTTCACCGATATTAAGGGTCGCCCAGAATGGGTGAATATGCTCAAGAGTTATCGATGTGCCGGCATCTGCAGCCTTTTTGAGGGCACACACACATGGAATTCGACAAGTCCAGTACACCACATTATCGCATCGGTCATTCGTTTCTTCTTTCCACTCTTGCGCCTTCGACCACTCAGTGTTCAGCTTTTGCAAACAAGTATGTGAAACTTGACATTTCAAGCGGTTCAGTGGAAAACTGCAATAATGGGTGCCAATTTTCTGTCTTGAGTACTCCAGTTTGTACCTGAATGTAGCCACTTACTGTAGAACATTCTACGTAAAATGCCATAAAAACAAAATAAATACTAAATATATTATAATAAATATAACTTCTAATATAATGGAATAGAACTTACCGTATTTCGGTTAGCTGACTCTGAATTTCCAAGTGCACCTTAGCCCAAAGTGTATCCAGCGACGCCGTGGATGTTTCCAGCCAGGTTTTTAACTGCTTGTGCGCGCTCTCCACCCTACCTGTAGTACTGTTGCCCATATGAAACACAACATTCGTCCATGCCTTGACGAATTTGTAGTCAACCACTAGCCATGTCTTCTGGATATAATTAAGAACTCTCGGAAAAGACTGCCAACGACGGATTATTACGGCAACAGCTTTATTGTACTCATCCTGATTATTAGCTTCCACAACGTCTTTCCACAACCCATATGTAAAACCATTTGCAATCTTGGCTTCAATTTTCAATTCCTTGTTGAGATGTCGCTTTACATTCTCATAAACGTGCCAAACACACAACAAGTGGCATGAATCTGGAAATACCATACCCAGCGGCGCTATCAACCCCGGTTCCCGATCAGTAACAATAACAGTCGGAGACAGATGACCAGGTAGCAAATCCCTAAACTGTCTCAAAGCCCAATAATAACTGTCAGCAGTCTCGTCACTCAAGAGGGCATATGCAATCAGGAAGTTCTGGTTGCACAGTGTCATCCCAATAAACTCAACCAACGGCATTTTGTACTTGTTCGTCTTGTATGTTGAGTCTATCCCGACGACCCAGAAATAACTGCAAAATAAATTGACAGCATCAGGATGTGCAAAAAAAATACGAGTCAGCACACCTGTCTCTTGATTGTAATCTGTCATGATGATGTAACCCATGATGCTTGGTCACCGATAGTGTCTTTGCCGCGACATCTATGGCACTCGATTCACCCAAGACCGGGAACCCCTCATTACGCAATTTCTTCCTGAAATTGTACACTTGCCGTCTGTTAACTTTTTCATCAGGAAAGATCCTCTCAATCGCAGCCATGATCTGACACGGTCTGCACCCATCTTTGGACATACCCTGTATAAGCTGTTTCACTCCATCGCTAAGGCCCCTCGTGGGATGATCTTCGTCAAACAGCTCGTGGTTATGCATTCCAAACTCACCAGGATACACCCGAATGCGCCACTTCCCATCCACTAAGTGCACATATAACTTAAATTTATACCCAGTGACTTGTGTCTTCGAATCTGATGTGACATAATATTCACCATCATCAACTGACACCTTTCCCCCTTTACAACATCTCATCAGAACAGCATTCTTCTTCTTACTAGAAACTACGTATATTAGCATACCATTTGCCATGCCCATGCTTTTCACCCAAGCAACAGCATCATCCTTTTTTGCAAATTCCTCATCTGTAGCAAACAATATACTATAATCTTCACCATCGCCACCAAAATCTTCTAAAGAATCCTGCAAATTAAACATAAAATTACAACAATAAAAAACTGCATCATAATAAATTAAATTAAACACATATTCTAATCATTTACAAAAGTTATACAATTATAATAAATAATATAAAAACATATATTTACAGTAAATAGATTAATTATTTACTAAATCAAATTTCCCAATACCTACCTAAAAAGCTAGAATTCATTAATTTAACGATTAATTAAATAGATTAATTATTTACTAAATTAAATACTTATTCCACAAAATTCTTTAATTATTTAATTATTCCCCCCTAAATAAATATTATCTCTAATTAATTAAATCTAAATAAATAAATAAAATTCAACTAATTACATTACTTAACATAACTAATTAAATTAACAAATACAATAATAACATTCCTACTTAATTAAATTAACAAAACATGCAAAATAAATATAATTCAACTAATTAATTTACTTAACATAACTAATTAAATTAGCAAATAAATTAACATAACATGCATGAAATTAAAATTAAAAAAAAACCCAGTTCAATGGCCGGACGCGTATATTGCGCGTCCCGGTTCAACTGGGGACGCGCAATGAACGTGTACCGGGACGGTTTTCTTGTCCGGTTCGGTTCCTTTTTAAGTTTTTTTTTTTTTTTTAATCTCTGAATGGCTCATTTTCTTTCTCTCTCTACTGTATTAAATGATAGGGGTAAAATCGTCTAATTTTTTGTTGGGTGGCTTTGAGTACTAATTTTGGGGGCTTTAAAAATCCATCCCCTTTATTTACCCTTTTTTCAATTTGGTTTTGATTTTTGAATAAAAATTTGATCTTTTCTCTCCTTTTTCCACAATCAAACTTGGTGAGTGTTTTTATTTTGTTTTGGGGGTACAACAACGCAAATTTAAGTTCATATAACATAACAGATCATTACTATTTTGGTTTTGGACGTACTGTATTGTTTTTCTCAATTTCCTTTGTTTTTCGGATTTCGCGGCGATCTAGTACATTATTATAACTGGATTTTGAACCTGAATCTTTACCGTAATATAAGATAAAGCAGTATTATTTAATCAAAATATGATTCATGGCAAAGCCTGCACTAAGATGAAATTTCGTATTGCACAAATCAATCGTGGAACTGATATGAAAAGATTTTCCAACTTTGTGTAGTCTTTTATTTCATTATTCAAGCTTTGTATAGTCGATCATCGAAGCAGGCCTATTGGCCGCTTTATTTTTCGTATAAACGGTATTGATATTTGTTTCGACAAGTGTGACGTTTAAGTATCGCTCTTCGCGAATTTCACACTTTCGTTTGAAATTAGTTTGGAGCAAATCAAACTTCACATCGAAATGTAATTTTTGCTCAAACACAATCATATACCCCTTATCACATATTTGATGAATTCACTTATCACCATCCCAAACCTGATCAACTATCTTTATTAATCTTTCTCTCAAAATAATTTGAAAACTCAATTTGCACTAATTTTTGAGAATATATAAGTATTTTAGGACCACCATTGCATTGAGTGAAATCAACTCAGCACATCTAACAAACCTTGTTTCACCATGACAAACATGATCAATTTACTATCTTTTTTATTTTAGAACCACCATTGCGTTGAGTGTAATCAACTCTGAATATTTAACAGACCATGTTGGAAAAGAGTTCTGATAGACTCAACGACACAGTTTAACAACTCTTCACGAATCTGATGTGGCTCCTCCACGTCATTTTCTTTTTATCCCATTTTTTATTTTTATTTTTTCTTAAGACACCATTTCTCCCTCTTCTCTTCTCAATTCTTTTTAGATTTCTCTTCAACCTCTCTGCTACTTCCAGTTCCACCACCACCCAGTTCGCTTCCCCTGCTTCCATTATTTTTTTTTGAAAAAAATCATTTCTCTTTCTCTTCCCTTCTGCCTCCTCTTACCTCACATTACTTTTCTTCTTAATCAATCATCGCAATCCGCACAAGTTCTTAACTTCATGGATCCGGATCTCGACGCGACCATCGTCTCATCCTAACCAAAGCGGGACTGAAATGTTATACCGAATCCTTGCTCGTGAAATTATTTAGATTTATTTGTACATATTCCACAGAGAGCAATGCGAAATCTGATTCCTCAGAGAGAGAGAAATCGTCTCCATTTTGCTAATTTCTGCCCCTGTGGTTTCTTCATCGGAGAGATTTGCTGCATTAGTGCTTCAGGGTGAAACAAGGGAGTATATACGATTGGGAAAGAAACAGGGTGCCAAACAGAGAGGATGGGTGTTCCGGTGGGGTGAGATTCAATCCCAAGGAGGAAGTTTTGAGCTATTACCTTAAAACCAAGATTCTCAAATCGCAATAATGCTTGGCAAGAGTGAATAATGTAAAAGAACATTTTGATATTCATAAATTTCCTTTTGTTATTCAAGATTTGATTGTAAAGAGATTTTGGCATCAATTTTTTTTTAAGATTAAGTACCATATTTAATTTGCTGACTCTCATTTGTGTAGTATCCGATTTGCTCTTATATATCATTTGGGAATGAGAAGTGTAGAGGAAGAAGAATAAGAGGTAGAAAGGAAGGAGACAGATTAACAACGGGTTCACTGGTATGGGGAAAGGACATAGATGAATATAATGGAGGTGTTTGGTGAATATAATGGAGGAGGTAATAATAGACTACCAGAAAGGAGGAGGAGAAAGTAGTGAAGATTGGGAGAGAAAAGGTTCACAAAATAGAACTTCTAAGTTTTCCCCAAAAAAAATAGTCTAGTTTTAAAAAAGGCAAAATTAATCGAATTGAAATGACTTAAATATCAAAAGAAAAGTGATAAGAAAAATAAGGTCTATTTCCTTTGATTTTTATTTTTTTAGTTTTTTCCTATTTTTTCAAATAATTATATCTTTTAATACATAAATAATTAGAAAATATGTTAAATATAAAATTAATTTACGTAACGAAATCTTTCCATCAAAATCGATTGTCACTATTTTTTGAGATAAAAATTTTGATTAAATTTAAGTTGTAAAATAAATACATGTATAGTTAACTTTTATAAAAATAATTAGAAGGGGTATTAGTAAAAGTTAGAGGCATAAAATGAGTTATACATTTGAGGTATTGACTAATTAAAAAAGTTATACATTTCAAACTGGATTTTTTTTTAGAACTGAGGCAATAAAATATTAATGAAAGCTACCAGCACAATGGGTCACGTCGGATTCGTGAATGATCGTTGAGAAAAATTGGTTAAAAATATCATTTTTCGTTGGAAAAATAGTGGATTCTAACCAAATTTAAGAATGGATGGAGCATTTGAACCTAGACTCTATGATACAAATATATCAATAAGGCCACTTTCCCACTTGTAATGGATATAGAAAGCTATGAAATAAGTTCCCACTTGGCTGAATGAAATTCTTGAAAAGAAAATGTTGAAGTAAATAAAATCAAACCAAAAAAAAAAAAAGAAAAGAAAAAAAATATACAGAGACAAGAATCCGCGTTTTATGTTGTACGTCGGTTGGGAATTTGGTCTTTTTTCCATTTTTGGCTTGTTGCTCATAAAGGAAAATGACCACCACTTTCCCTCTTTTAACATACAATCTTATAAAATTCGTGAGAAAACAAGCTCCAACTTCGAAGCCAAGTAGCCAGCCTCATGCCAAATGTCTGTTCTCCTCCCGTTTAATATTAAAAAGATACCAGGGAAATTAAAGAAAAAAAAAAGGAAAAAGAAAAACATAGAGAGATCTCTGCGTGTGAACTGTGAAACCCATGTCTCCTCCGCCTAATTAACGTCACAAAAGCAATAAATTATTGCATGGTTTCTTGACTTACTTTTTGGATTTTCCCTACTTTTTCCTTTTTAAAAATTACGTTTTGCTCAATATCCGACACAGCTCCTTCACATGCATGCATTTGCAATTCCCCCCCAAAACCCTAACTATTTTTATCCTTCTGTCACATTCACATACTCCATCTTCATCCATTTTACTGCTACTCTATGTTTTCTTTTTTCTTTTCTATTTTCTTTTTTTTTTTTTTTGACAAACACTGGTTTATGTATTTTTTTTTTATGGCTAACGTCACTAATAAAATGTCTATCTTTATCAGTTTCTTTAATCTAGCGGTGGTATGACCAGTAAAGTTTATAGATTCATCAATTATGGAAAAATGGAATATCTATCTTACTTCTTGGATTTGGAAAAAGGAAATGTCTTCTTAGCAGTAAAACGAAGAAGAAATGGAAAAAAGAAAAAAAGAAATCTCTTTCCTAAACCCTTTTCAGCTTGCGCCTTGATTCTCGGACAAAGGGGACCTATGCATATGGTCTTGTTTGTGACTCTTGTGCGTTTGATCGTAGAAAAACTTAAAAAGGAAAATGGTGGATATACTGATAGTGATACTATATAAATCCGAAACAAGTGGTCAAAGTCAACCAACAATTTTAGATAGTATATTTATGTGGTTTTTTTCTTTCCCCTTTAACTCAAGAGCCCGTTTTCATAGCGATTCACTGAAAATATAAAAACACAAATTAATTCCATATCCACCACACATCTATCTAGATTATGTTGGCCAGGAGGAGGCAAACTTCATAAATTAAAACTATTACATTATGTGGGTAGAAAATTCCGGTCAAATTCTTTATCAGTTAGAGAAATTATTCAATACAGCAGTTGTACCACGTATGATTATGCAGTCAGACACATTTAGGGGGAGAGAAATAATTTCTACGGGAGTTATACCACCAGAAGGTGCTGGTACTTGCTACACTAAAAACCAACATACAGCAGTTGCATCTAATAATTTTTCTATCAGTTAAGGGTCTAAACTGTGCTAGTGAATCGTTTATCATTTGTAGTCCTTCTGGAACTGTTGATGCCATGGACATTAGGTAATCAACACAATTAGAGACCACCCACTCTCTTTGCAACAACTCTAATCTGCCCCAATAAAACCACTACGCATATTACTCCTTCCATTCCAAAATAAGTGTCGTTTTAGTAAAATAGAGAAATTCCAAAATAAGTGTCGTTCTTACGTTTCAATGCACTTTTTGTCAAAAGTTTTCAAAATTACCTTCAAAAGAGTTGATGCTATTGGTGGACAATTTTATAATGGGGTTGGATGAGGATATTCAAGTAATTTTATTACCCTATTTAAGAGTTTCTTAAACTATGTGCAAAGTGTAGAACGACACTTATTTTGGAATGGAGGGAGTAATTGGATTAACCATCCTAAAACTACAATCAATGTCGACATTCTTAGGTCTGGCAATCACTCGTCCATTGCCCAAATTCCATGGTAACAAACTTAAAATTTATTTACTTAGCTGTACTCGCAGCTCTAAATTAAATTTCATTATTTATAACTCTGTCCATAAAAAATACCCATTCTATTTTAAAATTATTGTCGAGTTTAAAGTTTCATTTTTTTTAGTATAACAAGAATTAAAAATAATAATTTAAACAGAACGATAATTTTAATGCTAAGCGAGTACTAGACATTCAGTTTCAAATTTGCACTTCATTTCATAATGATAAATTTATTTGATTTTTCTTTAAAAAAGAAATCATTTCACAAAACTAATCTATTATCGTAAGACCAACTGATTAATATGTGGCTACTTCACGTAGAAAACGTCAAGAGTTAATGACTTAACTCCTTCAAAATTAATAATAGAGTCCGTTCGACTTTGTTTTACAAACATGACCGGAAAACGTATCACTTGCAGATGATGAGAATCTTAATTTTTTTTTCCCACATCATTACTTGAGGACGCAATTATACGGAGCTATACAAGCACCATGTGACTGTATGGAAATTACAAAAGAATGAACCTAAAATAACAGAAATCAAGAAGCAGGTCTCAAGATGACTGTACGTAACATTAGCTATTTTTACCACGCGGGAATCATTCTGCATTACTTGTTCCACTCTATTTAGAACGTAACAAATGCGTACAAATCAATTCAACAGTGTTAAAATGTTGACCGCGAGCAAAAAAGCAAATGATTGTGGACTGTCTGGGATCAAGTTAGTCTCGACTCCAAACAGTTCACAAATACACAGTACCACTCCGAAGGACGAACTATTTTATATCTGTGCGTGGAAACTATCCAAAAGCTTAAAAAAAGAACAATGTCTCCGCGAGCCGCACAACATGTATGATAACGTTTTTCCTTTTTCAAACATACATGGAGGAGATCTGATCGATAAAGAATCAAAATATTACTTTCTCTGTCCAAAATAATTGGTTAGTTATATTTTTTATGTTTAGTACAAAATTATAATACTAAAAGTAATATACAAACACGACATCATTCATAGACGGAAGGAGTAGTAACCAGAGGCGAAACTCTTTAGGGGCTTGGGGATACCGAGCCCCCCGCCGGCCGGAGACCTTTTTAGGAGTAGTCCCCATTAACCATATGTCATATATGTTCGACCATCTATATATGTTAATCATGATATGTAGTTAGTCCCTCCAAGTCTGAGTAGCTGCTTCCGCCACTGATGGTAACGTTGATACACTACTCAAAACATAGTAATTTTTTTCATCTTAAATAATTGTCTCTACTTTGTAGTTTTACTTTTAATAAAAATTAAACTTTTGAAAAAAAAAAATCAAATTGGTCAATCATTTCTAGATAGAGAAAATACTGTATATGATATGGTTCCTTTTCTAATGTTTAACATTTTCAGGAATTAATATAGCTAGCTATAGGAAGGGCAACATTGTAAATCGAACCATATAATCCTTCTTTAAAAGAGAAGTACATATTGTGACTCTCTGCAGGCTGACCTCAGAATTGTAGTGTCAAATTTTGCTACGAAGCCGCTTTGCTCCAAACATTTAATATTAAGCTATGGAGGATCAAGAACATCAACAACAACAGCAAGAGGGGACGAGGAACCGACAAAATCAGAGCTCAGAAAGTAGAGAAGATCAGAGGAATGAATCAGTGAGGTCGCGGTGGACTCCGAAGCCGGAACAAATCCTCATACTGGAATCCATCTTCAACAGTGGCATGGTGAATCCCCCGAAAGATGAAACAGTTCGGATAAGAAAGCTGTTGGAGAAATTCGGATCGGTCGGCGACGCGAATGTTTTCTATTGGTTTCAGAACCGCCGGTCCAGGTCTCGCCGCCGGCAACGACAGATCCAGGCTAGCCTCTGTGCCGCCGCCGCCGCGGCCTCTTCGGAAAATCAGAAACTGGTTCATCATCAGACAAGGAATAATATTAATAATATTCAGGAGGATTCAGCAACTTCTTCCTCTGCGGCTACGGGTTTTCTCCATCAATATTCCATGTCGACTTCTTATCCGTTTGTTGTTGGTTCTTCCTCTTCCTCCTCCTTCGCCGCCTCCGACTCCTCCGCCGCCGCTTGTGGGATCAACCAACAAAATGATTTCGCTGATGAACTTTTGGGATTTCCGGGACAAATTGGTCACCTGGAAACTGATCAGCAAACTTCTTCAAATATCAACCATCATCACTTCCATTATCAATCCGGTAACTTAATTATTTACCATATATCTCTCATTTTTGTTGGCTCAATAATCTCTGCTTTCAATTAGTTATACTATTTCTTCCGTCCCAGAATTATTGTTTAATTTGGTTAAGTTGGATTAATAATGGTACTCGCTTTTGTTTGTTTGTTTGTTTTTTTTTTTTATGGGCTTTCTTACGCAAATACGAAAGAAATGAAAATAATCGTTGGTAATTAATGTATTAATCAGCCAATTAATTTGTGCATGATGAATTTGTTATTAGGATTTATCACAGTATTTATTAATGGGGTAGCAACGGAGGTACCAAGAGGGCTAACAGACACAATGGCGATGTTCGGCCAAGATTTTGTGCTCCTTCACTCCACCGGAATCCCAGTCTCTGTGAATGAATATGGTTTCCTCCTTGAAGGCTTGCACCCTGGTGAAAGCTATTTTTTGGTAAGTCCAAAAAAATTAACTTCCCCCATTGATTCTTCTGTTCCATGTTTTTTTAACCTGCATTAATAAAATTCTATGTTAACTTAAAAACAAGTCTCAAATGAATATTCATCTGGTCCAGATCCTATTGCACAAAATTTTCAAAGATATATAATCCTATGAAAACTGCTTTACTTGAATATGCAAAACCCGGATGTTGTTGTGTTGAAAAATTCAGTTCTCATGCCATCCGGTGGTACACGTATCTTTTTTCATTTGTTTATTTTTTATTTTTTCTTTTGGAGTCCTCTTTCTCTCTCTCATTGTTGTCAAGTGTGCTTTGATTTTGATTAAAACAATGAGCTCACGATACCATAAATTATGTTTCACCTTCACACTAAATTTTGGCACAGAAATCTGGGAGTCTTCTGAGGTTTTTTTTCCCTCCCTTTATGCAATGTGACACTGAATCCCAAAGTCTCTGACAGCATGCTTTTCCGGAAAAGCTCTTTTGGCTGTTTTTCGTAATTAATCTCAAGGTGATATATATGTAGTTCCCTTCTTAGAATTATTCCCTGTCCTTCTTGCCAAGGTGATATATATGTAATTAATCTCAAGGTGATATATATGTAGTTCCCTTTTAATATATATATATATATATTAAAAGCATAATATATATATTATTATCTATATATATTATATATAATATATATATATATATATATATTAAAAAGCATTTCATTTTCTGAAATTTTTTAGGTTGGTTTTGGACGAGCGGTCCAACACAATAATACACACATGAACACGACTAAAATGAAATATTTCTGGTGTGACAAATCGCTTCACTGTTTGTTTTGTTTCTTCCTCTTCTATATTTTAATAGTTAGAGATTTAGAGCAAGTGATTGTTATTAACGAGAAATCAAGAGTTCAAACCAGTTGGGGAATCCGAAATTTTTCATATAAACCTTAAATGTTAAATTTTAACTAGCTACTTCCACTTCTATATTTTAATAGTTAGAGATGAGTGATTGTTATTAACGAGAAATCAGGAGTTCAAACCAGTTGGGAAATCCGAAAATTTTCATATAAACCTTAAATGTTAAATTTTAACTAGCTACTACTTTGAACTAATGTAGATTTACAATTATACTCCCTCCATCCTTAATATAAGGTATTTTTAGATTGGAAAAAAAACCTTAAAAATATACTAAGCTAAATACGGTGTAACTGGTCGGTTCACTTTCATTTTACTACCTGGTTTGTAAGTTATTGTTTTATTGTAGCTGTAATAGGGTTGCGTTTATCATTCATTGATAGGTTCCGAGTTGTAGTGGATAAACAAAACACTAAATTCGCCAACTTAGATATAATAATCATATGAATTTTTGCAACAAGTTACCTCTCAAATTAATCAACCATAAAAATATGTTACCAAGAAAACTATTCATGGCGCCATGCATGGTTGCTAATGATGAACGCCGAAAAACCAAACTGCATAGAAAGCTTCAAAAGTATCACAAATATTATACCCATTCTTTTTAAATATTATTTTTATAATTTGGAAATCATTTTTAACAATTAATTTTTGGGGATTATTCTATAAGTACACACATATACTTTTAAGACTTTATATATATATATATACTTTTAAGACTTTATATATATATATATATAAAAGTATATATACATATACTTTTAGACTTTATTTAACCTTGTGGAGGGAATAAATCTAGTTCTTCAAGGGAAAACACGTCTTATCAGTTTAAGTCATAGTCAATTAATTCATCCGTCTTAAAATTATAGTCAATTTTGTTAAACCAAATTCGTACAGGAAAGTTGACTTTTTTGGGAAGACCTAAGGTGTTAAAAATAATCACGCACTATAGTCATGTAAAGCGTCGATTTGGAAATTAATGTAACTGAAACTTCATGCTGCAATATTTGCTAAAACAAATTCGCGGATAACATAGGTTGACAGATCTGCTTTAAAATGCGCTCATTAAACTGTGTATGTATACTATTCATTAGTTTTATGAACTCTATATAGTTACATTCATCTTCCTTTCTCTCTCTGTCTCTCGCTCTAGATTTGAAAGTTAGGCGCCGAACATCACTCGATTTTATTATGATAATATGTTACGATATTGTAGTGTTTTGAAAAATATTACCCGATCTTATTGACAAGACTTGATAGATCATTTCATAAGCAAACGAATAATCATGCCGCTGTGGTGCCATGCCACTACCTCAATAACAAAATAATATGAATCAGTCATATTCAGGAATGCTAAGCCCCGGTTTTTGGTGGCTTTTCTTTGGCATTAGCATCCTATGAAGTGAATTGTTTGCAAATAGTTTAGCTAGGAAATATTGATGTTATTGGCACATTTTTTAAAGGAAATTTTAGACATTAAGTCGGTAGGAAAAGGGAAAAAAAGCAAGAATATGTACTTACAATACAATTCGACATACATAAGATAATTTACGGCTATGAAAGTTTGATTAACTTTAGGACATCAAGTGTTGATTAATTATAAGAATCTTAATCTTGCTAATCCAGGTTTTCTTTGATTTCTCAGGTTCACAGACCTGCGTAGAGTGGTCGAGTTTTCCCGCGATTGTTGGGTATGTAAGGATCAAGAATTTCGAGACATTGGTTTTCCAGTTTGAATTGAATAATGTAGTTACATATGTCTGTTTTGTTGCATAAGCAAAGCTTACTAAATTTTTTTTTTTTTTGATGTTTTATTCAAGGTTTATCGAACGCAACTGCTTTCTCTATGCGTTGGTTGCTAAATGACTTCGTGTAATGAAGAATCCGTTATTCCATTTGATCGACATGCAAACGTTCCTTAAGCGTAAAAGTAGAGCTCCAATTTAGTCTTTGGCCAGCTGATTTTTAATTGAGCGTTATAATTGGTTGGACGACATATCTGACACTAGAATTTTTTATTGGGCTACAATTGTAAAACATAAATAAGTGATGGGTGTCGAAACAAAAAAAAAAAAAAACCTACTTAAAACTGCAAACGGTGATAAGTAGGGTCGATCTCACAGGGACATGTGAAACTCTGATTAACTCCAAATGATTCGACTCAAACACAAGAAAAAAAGAAATAGTGGACTTGTGAAAGTGAGAAACTGACTCGGCTAAATGTTCTGGGGATCTTAACCTATCATCCCTTTAGTTAGTTGCTACTTTTAGGGTATGAAACTGTATTCAATCAGACACAATTATACTCTAAGATCACTCTCAATATTCCAAACAGTAGTCCTAGTAGCAACAAGCCTACTAACTCTCGTTGTTGACTCTAGAATATACTACTAACCATTAGGTTCCTAAGTCCATATGATTGCTTTGTGCTAAACAACTAACTCTCGTTGTTGTTTAAAATTTTAGGCTGTTACCCCTCGACACCGGCTAATACTAGATATTCTAAGCTAAGTTTACCTTCTTAGGATTTCCCCAACATGCATGCATAATTAGTTAAATAGTTAATTCAATTAAAAGGATAATGAAAACTCTAGTACTAGGCAAATAAATATCATCCAAGAACAACCATGTATATTAACTAGAGAGATTCAAGGGATTAAGACTGCTGAGTGATGAGAATCATGTAACCTTCTATGGTGATTTTCCTAGTGAGGGGAATGAGCTAGTCCTTCATTCTAGTTTTGGAATGCCAAGTTTACTTTGTAGGCCAATCAAGGAAGAAAGGATGGATCTTGACTACCTATGTTATCGGAGTTAGTTCAAGAGAGCTATGATCAAGATGATGAGAATGTCATTAACCTTGGGGTTCAAACCAAAGGAGATGATAACCTCATGGAAATAAGTGCTCAAGAGTATCAAGGGAGTTTGACTTTAGGTGCTCCATGAAGATCATTGATCAAACTAGTGAGAAGAGTCATTTAGGTTCTTGAATGGACGGCCTATTTGATCAAAGTGTTCAAGATTGAGCCCATTGTTACACAATTAGATAGGTTGCAAACTATCTTAATTGTTTCAAGTATTTTTCCAATCTTTTGGAGTCAATAAAGAGAATTCTACAAGTTTTGGAGTAAATTAGAGTTTTCTACAACTTAAGGGGCGCAAGACCAATATTCTACTTTTGAAAGGGCGTTCAAGACATTTTACTTCAATAATTTGGAGCTGAATTTCGGATTTTAGAGTTTGTCTAAGTTAGGAGTTATTTTCGAATTTTATCTAGTTAGATAAACCGTGTGGGCTGAATAAAGCTAGAGTGTTTTGATTAGGAGTCTTAGATTCCTTCTAGATATTATCCTACTTGAGGATAAGTCATTTAGATAAGGTTTCCTAGATTTTAGATAGAGTCAAAAAGATCAAATACTCTTCTACTTCTACTCCTTCTGAGATAAGATTAGAGAGTCCTAATTGATTTTCTTTTCTTGGTACTGGCCGAAAATCTTAGCCTATAAATGGGGGGGATGGCCGAAATTTCAAAGCACCCTTGAGTGGTCATTTTTGTTGTCTCTTTTGAGAGTTTTTCCTGTGAGGAATTTTTGTTAAATGGAGTGTCCATTTTTCGTGTCAAGTATAATTTAACCAAGAGGGTTTTCATATTGTCTTGGATCTTTTGATCTTGCAGAAACCATTCTTTTTCAAGTATGCTTCTTGATAGAATTGTTTTAAAACAAAACTTCTTATTTTCATACTACTTCTAGTAGTTCGATTGATGAGCCTTTCTTTTGGCTTGGTGTTCGAATTCATGATGAGTGTGTTCATGAGTTCCATTGTGGGGTTTGTCCTATTTTTGTTGGATGAGTTGTGCTTTGGCATAAGCATTTTGAGATAGTGTATGTGTTGCATATCTTGGTTGGTTATGGAGATTACTAATCAATAGTATTCCTTCATAGTTGAGCATTGTTTGCTCCTACCTTTCTTGAGTCTCTTGAATGATGACTGATCGAGTATATTGAATGGTGTCCTTGCTATTCTTAGTGTGGGTTGTTGTTTAATTTGAATCTTTCATGGATAATGTGTTCTTTGCTTGGTTTGAGTTAAGAGATAGAAATCACTTAGATAAACGATCATCTTACTGTGAATTTTCCGCACTCTTTTGAGTTTCACGGGATAGACGAATTATCTTCGTACTTTCTTGTTTGATGATTGCATTAACAAAATTTGCTTCATCTACGATATTGCTATCAGTTTCTTGGTATCAGAGCTTGGACTATCTTAGTGATGGTAGTAATTGATTTATCATATCAGTTTCTATTATCAGTTTGATTTCTGAGAGATTTCTTTTTGATTGAGGACTTCATAGTTCTTGGTTTTGAGACTATCTTGAGTTACCACGGAATCCGTTACTTGGTGTGGTAATCGAGCTTTGTGCTACTAACGAGTAGTACTATCTTTATTTGTTTCAAGGTTCATTCTTGTTGCAGAATGGGTTTTGAAAAAATAAATCAAATTCTCGTGAAAACTACGTTTTCAAAAATTGATCTTGTCTTTTGTGTGGTTGTGCGAGACTTCTTACACATTTGTTTGATCTTGTGGTGTTATTTTGGGGTCTATGCGAGAGCTTGATGATGGTACACTGGTATCTAGTCAAAGTGGGCGCTACATCTTGAAATTTATTCTCGATTTGCAAGTAGAGAACTGTTTCTTCTATGAGCAAGTTAGTGGATCTTATGTGTTGAATCTTTAAGGAGAGAATTGATGCCAAAGAAGAGCTTCTTGCTCGAGATAGCCTTTTCTTTCTAAAGGAGATGTCTTTACATAAGGAGGGTTTGAGAGTTTATCTTGTGGTAAATATCTTGGATCTATTCTTTGAAAGGTGAAGCTTAGTGATTTTGTACTTTCTACTTAAAGTATAAATGGAAAAGCCTTCCTTCTTGTTGGTTCTCATTTGAATCTAATGAGTAAAATGGAATTTTTGGATTTTCAATCAATGAGAATTTCATAGAGTTCTGATTCTTTTTTATCATTTTATTTTTGTTTAAATCTTAGTGTCAAAAGGTTTTTGTTTTCTCGAGTTCATACTTTGAGAATGAGATGAATTAGTGGATCTTCCTATGATTGGAATTTCCATGATTCTTAACTTGAGTTTCAAAACTTTCTTTATCATTTGATGAAGGATGAATTTTAGTGATATTAGTTTTGCTATCAAAGTGTTTCAAAGGTCTTTGAAGTTGAATTGTGCCAACTTTAAGGGTTGAAGTCTTTGACTTGTGTTTGAAACCTTGATTTTCGAGAGTTAAATCGAGAATTGAGTGAAGTTTTACTAAAGATTTTCTTATTTATGACAAGAAATCTTATAGGCTTTGAGATATATTCTTGAATTTTACATATTTGGTCTTTGGAAAATTTGATTTTCAAATGGTCACTTATGAAGATGGCATTGTTGAGTCATTGAGTTTTAAGAATGGTTTGTGTTAAATTGAGTATTATGAAGCAAATGTCATAGTTGAATGAGGAACTTTAATTCCCTACTTCATTATACTTATGGTGTTCTTGTTACTTTATTTGCCATAGAGTTTTTGGTAAAAAAAAAAAGGTGATTTTTGTTAATTCCATATACAATTTGGAAAAGGGTTTTTAGAAAGATTCTAAAAGTTGTTGTCCATTTTTAGAAAGTGGTAATTTTCAAGTTTCCTTTTTAAAGTGAGTCAAAAGTAATTTTTCAAATTTTAACTATGTGGTAAAAGGTTAATAGCCGAATTTTTGTTGACTTATTGCATGTGTGCGCGTGTGATTTATGTGGTATTGTAAGCCTAGTTGGTTTTGAATTTTAGAGTCATAGTATAGCCGAAATTGTGAAGCTAAAAATTAAGGATTCCTAGTCCTAGTTGAACTTGAATTTTGGTTGTCTATTTGTGTTATACTTGGGGACCTATTTGGTCTTGTATTTGTGTGTTCACATGGCCAAAAATTTTATCCCTAAAATTAAGGTCATTGAGTCCAAATTGTGTTATAATTTGAGTCCTATTCAGTTTTGGATTTTTGTGTTCACATTGGCCGAAAATTTGCAGCCTTTGTTTCCTAATTGTAATACAATTTTATTGTGTGTTTTATTTGAGTCCTACTTGGATTCAAATACTAATTTTTGCATGTGTTAAATTTTAATTTCAGTGAGATTATAATTAGAGTTTTAAAGTGAGTCTATTTTCGAAAACTATTGAGATAAGGAAGTCTTATTCTAATCTGAAATTTTTTTGAGTCTTCTAATACAATTGTGCATGTGTGTGGCCGTGTATTTGAGTCCTATTAGTAGTAGGGAAAAATCTCAGTTTGATGTCGTCTTGAGATAGTCCCTGGATCTTGAATGTACTACAGACCCTTAAAAAGGTTCGTAGATGATTATTGGGGTCTTCTGATGGTAGACCATGAAATGGACAAGCTGCTTGAACCCATTGAATCATATTTGACTTGAGTTCAAAATTGTCAGCCTCCACATCTGGGAAAACTAATGGCAATTGTACCTCCTCTTGTTGAGGGATGAAATAATCTCTCAACAATCGGGGTTGAGCTGGCTGAATCTCAGCTCCACCATTATGTCTGACTTCTTCTTCAGCTAAGACATCTTCTCCTCTTGAGCTTCAACAGCTGCGTACTGACGTCTGAGGTGTCTAA